CCTAAAGACCCCTAAACCCTAAAGACCCTAAACCCTAAAACCCCTAAACCCTAAACACCCGAAAACCCTAAACCCTAAAGACCCCTAAACCCTAAAGACCCTAAACCCTAAAACCCCTAAAGCCTAAAGCTGCTTTGCTTGGGCTTGGGCGAACCTTTGGTTTTGCGCGTTATGTTACTACCCCCACTTTGTAACAGTTAGATATTGTACATATATATATATACACATAATGTAGTCATCTATCGGGTACTGCCCCAACCCTGTAACAGTTGGATGATATTCATTACATACATTTATTTATTTATACATAGCCCTTAATATGGGCAGCACCCAACCTCTCTCCAAGGAGCCGCGACTTCCGCTTGCGGGTCGCCGAGCACCTGGACCAGACCTGAGTCGGTATGGGTTGCGAGGAAGCCAAATGCTGAGCTAGGCATAGGGTTATAGGGGTTATGTAGGGGTTATATTGGGGTTATCTAGGGCAATATGGGGGTATATCGGGGTTATATAAGGGCAATGGAAAAGAACATGCAAACTACTATAGTATATCATGGTATATTACTGACGCATCCCAGGCGTCCTCCCACGACTTAGTGGAAGTCAGTTCTTGGGAGCTGGGGGAAGAGGGGCCTGGGCCTAAGCGCACCTGCTGTGTACAAGTAGATCACTTGTCAGGTCATGTTCAGGAAGCTTGATGTCTCTGGCATGCAGGTCGTCGTTGGTGAGATATAATCCCTATATGACCCCTTTATAGTAGTTTCCATTTTCTTTTCCATTATCCCCATTATAACCCCCCAAAATGAGCACACCGTACAGTGTACATGCTGTGGCTGAGAGGAGGGCTAAACCCTGGTAGACCTGTGGAAAGCATGGCGTTGGGAGGTCAGTCTGAATCCTTGGAGTTTTGGCTATATGAGCGGTAGTCTAAACTCCTTAAAGGGAGTTATATAGGGGATTATGTAGGGGACTACTATGAGGGCTTATTAATGGGGATACTAGGAGTTTAGGCAGTAGCTCATATGATACATGCCACCCGAGACACTGATGTTCCACGGCAAGGTTCACCGTCAGCGTTCGTGAGGCTGTTTACGAGGTGGGAAGACCGCTGCTTGCTTCTCACCAGCGTCACACTTGAAATCTTCCGGTTGTTTGTAGAACTGTCTTCGGTAGCAATGCAGTCGATGTGATACTTGTTTGCTATCCAAATCTTAGCTTCCAGCAAAAGGCGGTTGTTTACTACGGTCACAGATATTGCTGCAATGTTGAACCAGACGTGTTGCTGCTTCGCTACAAATGAACTAGGTACCCCAATATTACCCTTTTTCCCTTTTTATTTGGGGTCTCCTTATTAAAACCAAACATTAGCAAGAAAGGGTACCCCTATTATTAAGGGGTTACTGGGGAACCTGGAAGATGGGACCCTAATTTTGGGAAACCCTAAATCCTCAATAGTAGCATGGGGTTACAGGGAAACCTAGGCTTAACCCCCTAAACCCTTAACCCTAATATTTTATGTTGGGATACTGGAAAAGAAAATGGAAGCAACTACACTCACCCAAACTAACAGGGCAACCCATGTAGCCCCCTTTTAGAAGGACTGTAGTCTTTACAGGGCCCATTTTGGGTTTCCATGTTAGTTTCCGGGAGTGTATGAATTGCTGGCTGGCAGGCCTTCCGCACTGGCAAGGGCACTCGTGACCTTACCGGACCCCAGGGCCTCACCACGGAGCAGTTCGTGGCCACCTAGTGCAGTTTATGGGTACCTGGAAGCTAGGAAACCTTTGGTGTCTTTGGCCCCAAAATAGTAGGGGTTTAGGGTTTAGGGTAATGTAGACCCTTGATTAATAAACCCCCTCCTTTTAAGGGGCCTTGATATTAGGATCCCTATTATAATCCTTATTTAGGGGAAGGGGTTTGCTATTCAGGGGTCTACATTCGGTTCAGGTTTTAGGCTTGTGCTGCCAAATTAGAAGCAGGCTGAGGAGGTCAACAAGATTCAGTACATGCAGTGCAAGGTGTCTTCGACACAACAAGGCTTAAGGGTGTCAAGGGTATGGGCTGTAACGTTTAGGGTTTAGAGTTTAGGGTATAGGGTAGTATAGGGCGTAGGGTTAAGGTTTTGGGTATAGTCCTCACTACGTAGCCCTGAGCCTCGTTTGTGACAACATCAGCCGCCATCTCACAGTGCCCGATGTCGTTCAAGGGTCCTAGGTTGTACCCCTTAGGCTTTAGGGTTTAGGGTTCGAGGTTTAGGGTTTAGGGCTTTTGCCCCTAGAGGTTTCCCCACTATGGCCCTAAGACATAGCCCGGATATGAGCCAATGTATTCCGCTGGGGTTCCTTAAAAGCATCCCAAAACCCAGGGGTACGACCCTAGCCTGAAACCCTGGAGTGGCAGGCTGAAAGGATTTTTATGGGGGTTTTTGGGCTTCAATGGGGACCTCGTCATGCGTCATGTTCTTACCATATTCTTTGGGTTCCCGGTCCGGGCAGTCCTCTGATAGGAAACCAGATAGGCGTGTCGTGTATCTTACCGCCCTGGCAATGGGTGATGGAGGATGAAGGGAGAATGCTTTAAGTGCTGAGCATAGCCGGGCCTGAAGCGCAATCAACTACATGTCAAGTCCATGCGACTGCACACCACTTTTTGTTGCTCTGGCCTCTAAGGTCTAGGGACTCCGATTAAGCTTTAAGTTCCTGAGCCTCAGCGGCGCAGGAGACATTAGCGTGCTTTGGGTGAGGGGACTATACAGGGATGAGTTAGGGGACCATGTAAGGATTGTAGGGCCAGGGGTTATGTAGGTATTATATAGGAGATTACTTAGGCGGTCTGGTAAATCAACGCGTAAGCAAGAGACTGCCAACTGCAATTAAGGCTTCCGTCCCGACATACTTGCCTTGAGTTAGTCTTCCTAACGCTCTGCTACCTTTACCCTAAACCTTAAGCGAAGTCCCAAACCCTTAACCCATCTTGTGTGACATCGGGGAGCCTTCCCAGCAGTGAGCCGCCGCCCCCCTAGCTCCCTCGACTTCGAGTAAAGTCGGTCATTCTAGTTCCATTCCATATAGAGTATAGAACCTTGGCAGTTACAGTTGGGTTTAGGGTCTGGGGCTTGGTATTCATGTATAGGAGCCCCCTCTTCACGGAAATCCCTACATCAGTATAAGTCGGATGCTCGTCATTCTAAAGGGGCCAGCACCCTTTCCTGACCTTGTGAAACCTTTACGAACCCATGGTCTTTAGGGTTTAGTGGTTTAGGGTGATCCTGGTGAGATTCTTGACTGCCGGCGGTAGCAATCCTAAACCCATCAGCGCTAGACCCTCGAACCCTACAGCCCCAAAAGCCGACGCCCTGAACCCTCAACCCCTAAAAGCTCTGCAACTTAAATCCGTATGCCCCGAAGCCTAAAACCTTAAAGCCTAAACCCTTTACTCTCCACCTTGTCTCCTAAGGATTGGGTGGCAGACAACCTGGCCAAGCGAATGGCCAAGGATGGACCTCCTGAGGTCTTCACTGGGGAGGAGGTGCGCTGCGATGTTAGGGTTTAGGGTTTAGGGCTCAGGGTTTGGGGTTTACTGTAGAGGCCTCAAGACTTACCCATGTGAGCTACAGTCCAAACTCCTTAAAGGGGGCTTATATAGGGGAGTATACTAAGGGTTATTTTGCTCTGCGAAAGGCTCGGTCTCGGAGCCCATCAGCGCCACTAAGGGTTATAAAGGGGGATACTAGGAGTCAGTGTAAACTGTAGCTCATGTGATTCCCCTAAATGTTTATATCATTATAGTATAATATGCCCCAAGGCGCAAGTCTGACTGAATAGGCCTTGGGGTCCATGGTTTTGGGACGAGTTGTATGCCCTAAGCCCCAAACCCTATGGTATGTTTTGTGCATAGGGGATGTTGGTTGCTCTCAAGTCGAGAGCCATGTCATTTCTGTCCCTTCGTAATAGGATGCCCAGAACTGTGGTTAGGGAAGAACACTTACATCTGAACCGTCTGGAGATGATTCATGTACGGTCTCACACATGTAGAGATAGGTACCGCTCATGCACTACCTTGACTGCTGAGGACACATAAAGGATAGTCATGAGAGTGCTTGTGCTGGTTTTGACTAAAGCAACAATCTGCAAATGCCTATGTTTCTGCACATAGACCTTTTCTACGTCTTGATCTGGGTACCAGTATGTTTCTCACCTAGACTTCGCATGCTGGGGTCATTCTTTCAGGCCGGGGCATTGCTTTCAGGTTCCAGGCCCTTTTAAGCTGCGGCTCCTCCCTCCTCTCCTCCCCATTCTGGGGTCACTCTTTCAGGTCTTTGTGGCTGCCAAGACTACGAAGAGGCGGCAGAGGAGGAGGAGATGGAGTGGGATCCCATCCTCGAAGCAGATGACGAGCCAGGGACAATTCCAAAGGAAAGGCTGCTGGCCGCCTGCTTTTGGCCCTGATCAACAAGGAGTCCAAGCACAGATCCTGCAGCGCGATCGGCCGCATGGAGTGGGGCCCCAGCCTGCCGAACTCAGGTATGATGCTATTATTGGGGTTATATTAGGGTTATGTTCGGGTTATATTAGGGTTATATTGGATTTATATTCGGATTATATTAGGGTTATATTAGGGGGCTGCGAGTCCAGCCCTCGCTTTGTCCGCAGCTCACAGCACCTCTCAGCCTGAATCAAGACCGGGTCGTGAAGGACTTCCCAATTACGCCGCCTAATTAAAACCCATACCTTCATAAATCCAAAAAGTTCAAACATCTAGATTCATACAGAAGTTCTGATAAACAAAGGGTATATACCAGGTCAAGTCTAGAGGTTCCTTGCACAGAGACCCCTCTGCAAATTACTCTAGATGCCCTTTGTGGAAACATGTCCCGCAAAACCTTCAAATTCATGGGGCTATTCTGGCCCTCCCGCGCTATACAGATCCCCACAAGTCAAGGGCCTTGCTACGGACTGTTTGGGACCAGTAGGGCTCATTACGGGGTACTGGGGCTTCAGGTACCCCAGTAGTATCCTTTTTTCACCTTTTTTGGGTGGTTCTCCATATTAAAGCTGACCACTGAGAAAAGGGGTACCCTTGTTACTGGGACCGTAATTGTGGGAACTACCCTAGACCCTAAACCCTTAATAGTAGCATGGGGTTACAAGGGACCTAGGCTTAACCCCCTAAACCCTAAACCCTGAACCCTAATAGTTTCTATACGCTCCCCACGACGTGAAGGCCCCCCAAGCGGAACGTACTTGGTAGAAGCTCAGGGCTTGGCTTTATAAATCCTTCACCCTACACTCTAGGGTTTAGGGTTCAGGGTTTGGGGTTTGGGGCTTAAAGTTTAGTGTTTGGATTCTACTTGGACATTCATGGGACTTGGTAACCCAACTTACAGTTTCCCTCATTTGGCCTGACTTGGGCAACCCCACATCATAATTCCCTTGACCCCAAACCCTAAACCCTAAAAACGAAACCATTTGAGCTATAGTCAAAATTCCTTTAAGGGGGGTTATAAAGGGGAGTCTATAGGGAGTTTAGAGCCTAAACCCTAAACCCTATACTATAGGGGTTATTAAGGAGTTTACTAGGAATCTAGACTATAGCTCATATCACCCTGAACAGGTTCCCAAGGTCGCAGCGCCATCCAAGAAGCTGCGACGAAAGTACCAGGCAACCCACTCGGAGTCTGAGGGCTTTGTGGTTTCCGGTTTAGGGCTTGGGGCTTTGGGTTTGCTTGAAGGGCCATGGGCCTTTTTTAACTACATGTAACTACTGCTTATACTTAGGGTAGCCTCTATAAGGTCAGTTGGGGTCATCATAAGTAGGATTATTAGCTCAGTTGTTCGTAGTTGTGCCATGAACCTCCAAGTAGAGTTTAAGGGCCAAGGGTCTGGGATGTTTGATTTCTAACAACTGCTGGGACCCCAAAACCGAAACACAAAGAGTGCCTTCAATCATTTATTTCGTTACGTTGCTGCCGAAACAGTTGATAAGAGGGCACCTTCCATATTGGAGGTCCAACATTTTGTATTCCCAACTACTAAGAGCCCTTTTACAACAGCCTCCAAATTCCCAATCTCGGGTTTGAGGATGTGATAGGATTTAGGCTTTGCAGTTTCTGGGGCTAGGTTCTTGAAGCAAGCGCCTAGGCATCATGGGGAGACCCTTCCCCAAACTAGCATGGAACCCCATCAAAGTTGTTCGAAAGTGACACTAGTCTACGCGCGTGTTGGGGGAGGGTTTTAAAACCAGCAAAACAAGGCTTTGGCCCCTTAAGCTGTCTTGGACAGCATGTTCCTAGACTAGTAGTTGCTAAATTGTTTAGGGTTGAGGGTTGATACAGGGGTTAGGGATTCAGGATGATGGTGAAATTAGGGGCGTTACCCAAGAATGGAAAATCAACTGGAA